ATATATTTTTTTCTTTCTTTTCTTAATGTTCAGTCTTATGAACATAAGATATATATATGGACTTCTATTACCTAAAATGAAATTCGCCTCATACAGAAAAATTGCAAATTTATTCAGCTTTCACATGATCCAAACCCCATTAGAATCACCCATATAGTTATGGAGAAATATAAAAAAATGTTGCCAAAGGTGTACTTTTGAGATATAGGGTTCCAAAGTTCACGATACTTTTCCCCGAGATTTTTTTTTTTTTTTTTTTTTTTTTTTTTTTTTTTTTCTTTGCATCATTACATTATATGGCATTCTGGTATAGCTGGTACCTTTTGCAATGCACTAATCACACTAACTGCACATGATTGTCCAAGTGCAGCCTTGTCATCACAGGCTTCGCAGTGCCTAACCTAACCACATGAGGCATTTCATATGCATAAACAACTGGTGCAGCTGTGATTGAAAAGTATTTCTCATCATATTATGTTTAATAGTTACAGATATAACATCTACCATTAGTTGCCCCTTAGTGTGTGATAAGGACATACATCTGTGAGATGGTGTCGCGGAGGCAAGAGATGCGCGACCTCTCCCATTAACTTTCTGGTCGTGATTGCCAGTCTTGTCTCCCAGAGTCCCAGTCTTGGCTATTAGCTAATACAGTAAACAGAATTGCCAGCTAGCTACCAGAGAAAACCAAAATAAATACGAAAATTCTGAAAAAACAAATTTGTCACGTATATTTGCACAGTCGCAACAAAGTAAACATCAGAGGGGGAGGCGGGGGGCGGTCAGAGATTTAGTCATAATTCCCTTATATTTACGTATTTAGCAGAAATATTATGTCACAGGATTGCCAAAGACTACTAGATTACAGGAGATTTTTTTCAAAATTTCGATTATTTTTAAAATTATTTGTTGAAAATTCAGTGGCTGGCCCCCATAAATTATGTAGATGTAGGCTATAATATCTATAAAATTTTGACAATGTTTGGCTACAAGCCCTGTCAACAATCATCAATGTTTGTGTTTTATTTTAATGGACAGCTGTGTACTTTATAAAGGAATCAGAATGTCTTGGTGTACAACTTGTCAATCACTAACATTTTCACAGCACCTTTCATATACTTTGTTAACCCTTATGATCTGGATAAAAATGATATAACATGATCATCACATCATGAACAAACTTGGTTTGTAGTAATGTGAACAAAACGTCAATGCGAAAATTTGGCTGTGGGTTGACGTGACACAATCTTGCCATTGTAAACAATTCAACTAAAGGCCAAGGTGATAGGAATGACTCGCTATGAGTGCACAAAGCTCTTGGAGGGTGATTAGACTTATTTGGTGTTTAGAAAGGAAATTTTGCATTATTTCCATCAATAAACGAGTGTGGAATTTACCATCCATGAGCCATGAATGGAAGACCACCAGCTCCAGGAAGGAGGCTATCTCCATGCTCAAGATCCAATTCCTGGCTGCCATGACAGGTGCTGAAGGTTGCATTACAGAAAAACAGAATATTACGAAAAAGAAAAAGAAGAGAGAGAGGAAAAAGAAGACAAAAACAAAATATTACTTATCATTATTATTGCACATTTATGGATTACCTAGAGAGATAATATGTAGTCTGCGCTAGGAAAATAATCCATCATCATGTGGATAAAGCAATTACAGACATTGGAAAATGGAAAAAAGCTAAAAATGCTGAAGCAGACAGAATAAATGATACTGCAGAGGGGGAGCATGGAGTCTTGTCGCCACACACTACTGTTTATGCGCACCCAGGCTACAAGCCACACGCTCATCAGTGTCTCCACTCAAGTATGCCTAATGCCCCTATTTTGGGCCATGTGATGGTAGTGAAGCATCCAGATCCAATGGATAATCAACCATTTCAAATGGGATATTCAACCATTTCAAGTTAATGATATATCAACCATTTCAAGTTAATGGGATAATATCAACCATTTCAAGTTAATGTCTCAACAAAGCACTACGACTGAACCACTCTCTCAAATAAAGTTCTTTTTATATCATACATTTTCTCCTTATCCACAAGGTGACAAGTATCATCCCTGAGATTTGATAACAATTTTTCAGTTAAACATATACAAGACTAGTATACTATCACTATCTTTCCTTCAAACAGCCTGTTTTCTACTGAATCTGGTAATCAGTACACTACTGTACCTGAAGGAGTCCTTCAAATGCATCTTTCTTCTTTCCACAATGTTCCCAACTCACACATTCATTCTCTGCTGCAGGTCTCAAAAGCCTGCTGCTATTCCTGTTTTCTTTTCTTTACATCGTTCTCTCTTCAAACAATACACACATACAAATACACAAACACGCATGCAGGACTGTGTTCAATAAAACTGAATAAATGAATAAGTAAAATATAACAGCAAAGGAGGAAAATATTTTCAATACAATTAGAAAAGACTGAAAGTGAACCAAACACACTTGTAGGCCCAAACTTTGTCCAATAAGACCTTTAACAGTTAAGCTAATTTCTGTAAAGTAAAAAGTACAATAGTTACCTGCCTTTTGTACAATGAGAAAAAAAAAAAAAAAAAAAAAAAAAAAAAAAAAAAAAAAAAAAGAAAGAAAGAAAGAAAGAAAAAAAAGATTCTGCAAGCCTACCTGGAAAATTTATCCACATAATGAACAGCATGTTGTAAAAGTAAAATTACAAATAAACAACAATTACAGCTTCCTACCTTTGGCATCTTGAAGGTGGGAGGCACTTGGAGGTGATACTTCTCTTTACACAGAGCTTCCAGTCTTTCCATTGCTGAAGAATAAAAATCTAACTTAAACTCTTCCAAACATGCAAACCACTGTGATTTCATATTTCCATATAAGTAGAAATAATTCAAAATTACACAAAATAGGTTTGAATAAAACAAACTTTCTTTCTTTGTTCAGAAAGAATTATGATCACCGTGCAACTCGAATTCTCAAGCATATGCAGTACTGCTAGTTAACCACAGTCAGTACCTATACCCCATGGATCTACAATGTAAAAATAATTACACATTACCTAAGAGTGATGTATTCTCTAACACTTCTCTACTCACACATTCACACTCACACTCATTCACTCACACATTCACACTCACTCACTCACACTCACATTCACTCACATCTCACTTTCACTCACACTCACTCATTCACTCACACATTCACACTCACACTCACTCCCTCTCACTCACACATTCACACACTCACTCACTCACACATTCACACTCACACTCACTCCCTCTCACTCACACATTCACACTCACACTCACTCACACATTCACACTCACTCACTCTCACTCTCACTCACACATTCATTCACTCACTCACTCTCACCCACATTCATTTCACTCACCTCACTCTCACTCACACATTCATTCACTCACTCTTCACAACATTCATTCACTCACACTCATTCACACTCACTCACAACATTCATTTCACTCACACATTCATTCACTCGTCACTCTCACTTAACATCTCATTCACTCACTCACTCTCACTCACACATTCATTCACTCACTCACTCTCACTCACACATTCATTCACTCACTCACTCACTCTCACTCACACATTCATCATTACTCACTCACTCTCACTCACACATTCATCATCACTCACTCACTCACTCACCACACATTCATCACTCACACATTCACTCACTTCACTCACTCTCACATTCACTAACTCACTCTCACATTCACTAACTCACTCTCACTCACACATTCACTCACTCACTCTCACTCACACTTTCACTCACTCACTCTCACTCACATATCTCTTCACTGACACATTCACTCACTCATATCTCACTCTTCACTCACTCACACATTCACTCACTCACACATTCACTCACTCACTACTTTCACTCACACATTCACTCACTCACACATTCACTCACTCACTCATCTCACTCACACATTCACTCACTCACACATTCACTCACTCACACATTCACTCACTCACACATCCACTCACTCACTCTCACTCACACATCCACTCACTCACTCTCACTCACACATCACACTCACTCACTCACACTTCACTCACACACTCACACTCACTCATTTTCACTCACACATCCACTCTCATTACATCACTCACTCACTCTCATTACACATTCACTCACTCACTCTCATTTACACATTCACTCACTCACTCTCATTTACACATTCACTCACTCACTCTCATTTACACATTCACTCACTCACTCTCATTTACATTCACTCAACTCACTTTTACACATTCACTCACTCACTCTCATTTACACATCACTACTCCACATCTCACTCTCACACATTCACTCACTCACATCTCAGCACATTCACTCACTTCACTCTCACTCACACATCCATCACACATCACTCACTCACTTCTCACTCACACACATCACTCACTCACATTCACTCACTCCACTTCACTCACTCTCTTTTACATCACTCACTCACTCTCATTTCTCACACTCACACACTCATTACACATTCACTCACTCTCACACATCACTTCACTTCACACATTCACTCACTTCTCATTTACACTCACCACTCACTCTCCATTTACACATTCACTCACTCACTCATTTACACATCACTCACTCACTCTCATTTACATCATTCTCACTCACTCATTTACAATTCTCACTCAATTTACACATTCACTCACTCAATCTCATTACACATTCACTCACTCACTCTCATTTAACACACCACTCACTTCATTTACACATTCACTCACTCACCTCATTTACACATTCACTCACCACTCTCACTCACACATCACTCACTCACTCTCACTCACATCATTCCACTCACTCACTCTCACTCATTCACTTCACCACTCTCTCACTCTCACTCACACATCCTCATCACATTCACTCCTCACTTCACATCACCATCCACTCACTCAGACTCTCATTTACACATTCACTCACTCACTCTCATTTACACATTTCACTCACTCACTCTCATTTACACATTCACTCACTCACTCTCATTTACACATTCACTCACTCACTCTCATTTACACATTCACTCACTCACTTCTCATTTACACATTTCACTCACTCACTTCTCATTTACACATTCACTCACTCACTCTCATTAACACATTCACTCACTCACTCTCATTTACACATTCATCTCACTCACTCTCATTTACACATTCACTCACTCACCTCATTTACACATTTCACTCACTCATCTCTCACACATTCACTCACTTCTCATTCACATTCACTCACTCACTCTCATTTACACATTCACTCACTCACTCTCATTTACACATTCACTCACTCACTCTCATTTACACATTCACTCACTCTCACATTTACACATTCACTCACTCACTCTCATTTACACATTCACTCACTTACTCTCATTTACACATTCACTCACTCTCATTTACACATTCACTCACTCACTCTCATTTACACATTCACTCACTCACTCTCATTTACACATTCACTCACTACTCTCATTTACACATTCACTCACTCACTCTCATTTACACATTCACTCACTCACTCTCATTTACACATTCACTCACTCACTCATTTTACACATTCACTCACTCACATTTACACATTCACTCACTCACTCTCATTTACACATTTCACTCTCACACATCACTCACTCACTCATTTACACATTCACTCTCACTCTCATTTACACATTCACTCACTCACTCTACACATTCACTCACTCTCATTTACACATTCACTCACTCACTCTCATTTACACTCACTCACTCTCATTTACACATTCACTCACTCACTCTCATTTACACATTCACTTCACTCACTTCACACATTCACTCACTCACTCTCATTTACACATTCACTCACTCACTCTCATTTACACATTCACTCACTCACTCTCATTTACACATTCACTCACTCACTCTCATTTACACATTCACTCACTCACTCTCATTTACACATTCATTCACTCACTCACTCTCATTTACACATTCATTCTCACTTCACACTCACTCACTCATTTTACACATTCACTCACTCACTCACTCTCATTTACACATTCACTCACTCACTCTCATTTACACATTCACTCACTCACTCTTTCACTCATGCTGTCACTCATTCACTCACACTCATTCACTTATTCACTCATTCATTCACACACTCACTCATTCACAGTCACTCACTCACTCTCACTCACATTCACTCTCTCGCTATGAGTGACACCCGGAAAAATAAACATTGCCAGGCATCCCGCCGGTGTGACGCTGGATTGGAGCTCCAAGTCTGTCGCAAACTGCAGCCAACACGCAAGTAGATTCCGGGCCAGCCCTGCATGCCGATTTTGAAGCCGCCAGAAACCACTGTTTTCAGCTTCAAAATATACCATTGCTAATGGGTTAAATTCAAACACTATATATATATTGAATAAATCAAGACAAAAATATCTACCTTTCTCTCTACAGCTGCCATAAGCATTTTCCCATGCATCCATCAGTCTGTTATAATACCGTGGTTTATCCATGAAACCAAAATAGGGAGAAGTTTCTGCCGTAGGGAAGATCCGTGTGAATCTGAAATTTTTTTTTGGAAAAGTTTGATGGTCAATCCAACATTTCGTAATTCCTACTTTCATGTCCTGAATCACATTCCATTTAAATCACAAGAATGAATATCACTACTCAAATTTTTCCCAACTTTTGAATGTACAGTAATTGCTACTTACTTGCCAGCTCTGTGGAGCTCATCCTCTGCTGTGATGAGATGACGAACATCATCAGAAGTAAGGTTTTCAATGGCAAAATTCAGATATTGACTACGAGGCATACCGTTTACCTGAACATGTTTCACCTGCAATAATGAAAATTATATCACATCGTGAATTTAAAACTGCAACCTACTCTAATAGAGCAGATTAAATAAAGGAAGTCCTGTTTGTGTTCCTGAGGGAACTCCAAATAATTGTTTCCTATCCACAACTTTTTTCCTCACCTCAAGACAAACCTTGGATGTCCCTCTTGTGCATAGTAAGCTTACACCCTATCAGGCAAATTTCAACTGTACTTTCACACATTATGCAGTTATCAATATCATATAACCAAATGTCAATAAGTCTGACATGCTATATTCTATTAGAAAACCAATCTAAATTTCTAAAACTAAAATTCTCTTTTGTTTAACTTCCCCCTTCCCTCTTACTCTCATTTCCTGAATTATTATCTATGAAATATTCATAAAAGTCTTTGCAGCCAGAGCAAACTATCATCCTCATCCACTATAGGAATATAGTAACAAGCCATAAGAAGAAAAGGATAACTAGTGATCATGAGCTGATCTTCCCACTGTGTTGGGAGGCTGTGTAACACAGCAAAAACAGAAGAAGAATAGCAATATATAATTTCCAGTCCATTTTAGTGTATGGCAGAGGGGGCAGTTAATAGGTGCCAAAATTTACAGAAAAGAATGATGCAATATATATTATCGTTTCTATGTCCATTTTAGTGTTG